GATTCTTATCTCTAGATAACATGAATCATGTGTCTGCAATCTACAATTACTAAAATTTCATACTAAGTGTTAAATCTTACAGAATTTTGTGTGTGAATCACAACGAGATAAAATAATCTTATTCATGTTTCTATTGCAGTCGGAGAACCAATTGCAATTTGGATATGTTAACAATTTGTTTTTTACCTCTTTCGATGTATTTTAAATAGTTGCATATAGTTTTTGGTAATCGAACTTCCCCATTTGTGGTGCATGCGATTGTCCTTTGGCTCTGGCGTAATCCATACCATAATGCACTTAAGCAGCTCGCTTCCTCCCACATGTATCCTCAAGATACAAATAACTACAAGAACATGAGAGCAGCGGAGCAAAAGAGAAGCGTTGGCAAGACAAAAAGGCGAACCTCTTGTAATTTGAGCAATTTGTTTTCATAAACAACGCTGCGAGCAAACCTTCTGCCTTATACAATATGAGGCCAGCGGCCAGTGAATAGTATCTGGTATCTTGTATATTGTATCTTGTATCTGGCATCTCGTGCTGGATGGCTGGCAAACAGTTTGCGAACGCTGCTGTGTGTTTTCATAGGAATTACGCTGAAAACTGTTGTTGAGCATCTCTCAAGTTAAGCATGTGTGGATGGGGATTTATTTAAGATGCGGCTGCATGTTATTCCTGCTTTTAGCAGCACATCCTCCGAAAACAATCACAGATCCTTAACAAACCACTTGCCTGAAAAAATATGCTTGCAACTTGCTCGTGCGGTTGAGGCGTCAACGTTTTAAGTGCTCCGCTGTGCCCCCGCTGCCTGCCCCTCTGTCTAGTTACTTTGTAATGGGTTTTAATAACAATTTGCCGCAAATGTGACCAGGTTTTTCTTATACTACTTCTGTTTGTGTAAATATAATTTCTTTAATTGGATTTTGTCGTCGTAGCTGCAAACACGCGCATTAAAAGCGCCCGCAAAAACATTCGCCATTTGGCGGCGTCGGTGTGAAATTAAGAAGCAGGCAGCAAAACCAACAAAACCAACAAAAGCCAACCAGACAGCCGGACTTTTGGACAGACAGCCAGACGGACAGTGAACAGTGGACAGTGTACCATGCAGCTGGTAAAACCCGTTAAAATAGCGCCCAAAACAAAAAAATATATACACAACTTGAGACTAGGCTCAGTCTTTTGAACTGCAACATACGCTGCAGCTGAGTTTTATTTAATGATTTTCTAATATAAAGCACCTGTTCTTGTTTATTAATAAATAATTAAAGTAGAATTGTACTTAATTTAGATACATTTTATTTTAATTTGTTATTTTTAGATTGTTTACGTTTCTGAGCTTATTTAGCCATAAATTAAATTTAGATTTAAGCCTATATCGAGGTTCAGTTTTGCCAAGTTTGTTAGGTCTTTTCTAAATTTCGAGCTCCGCTTAAGCTGAGCCTTTTTTATGAGGCCCAAAAACGGTGCCTAAAGCTCAAAGCAGGGCATACGTATACGTAATGTGCCGAGCAAATGCCTGTGACAGGCGACAGCGCGACACGCTGTCTAACAATTTTAATTTTCAATTTTAACTGCGACGGACAATGGAGCCGACAACGATGACGACGACGACGACGACGACGTCACACGGTTCGCCTTTTAGTCAGCTCCACTCGCAGATGGAGCCAGAGTTGGAGTTGGAGTCACGTCCAGTTTTATCCGGCCCGTTTAACTGGGTCACTGGTGTCAATCGTTAGCTGGTTCTGCTTGATGTTGTCGCTGTCGTTGTTGTTGCTGTTGTTGTTGTCAACTTAATTATGTCGCAATTGCTTTGAAGTCGACTTTTGCAAATGTAAACCAACAGCAGGTGGCATTGCTCCATGGTCCATAGTCTGTGGTCCGGGCTCCGTACTCCGTGGTCCACAGAGCCATTTGAAATTGCGCTTTATTCAATTTTTATGCGCACCATACCATTCCCCGCACTCGGCGCTCCAGTGGCCCCCATTTTTTAGTGGCTGCAACATCGTTGTCACCACTTTAATTGGATTTGCCCCGCTGACGCGTTGCTTTGCCTTTGTCTTTGGCATTAGCTTTGCCATTGCCGGCGCCCCACTCTCTGCCCGGCTGCGTTGCTTTACTCTTACTTTCCCCCAGTCGTCCAAGACTTGGGAGCCATCGTCATTATCATCATCATCATCATCGCCATCGCATTCGCCATTTGCCATTCTCTGTGGCAGTAGCTAAAAAGCTGCAGCGCATTACAAATTGGTTTTGTTATTGGCTTAATTGAATTGTTGCAGATTGGACTTTAAATACGCGACTGCCTCATTTGGCCGCCACCTCCGACTAGCTGTTGCTGTTTTGCCTGGGGCAATCTTTCTTTACACGAGTTTTCATAAGGTAGCGTCAACAACTTGGCGTGCAATTAATTGTAGCTCGACATGCTTTCAGCGCCAGCAAGTGCCATGGAATGGGTTGCCATGGAATGGCTGGCTGAATGGATGGATGAGTAGGGTGGTGTGAGCCATTGCTGTGGTGCCCAAGACATGTAAGTCATGTAATTAGAGCAGTGCAGCGGGCGTGTGCCAAGTGCTAGAGGCAGCTAACCTCATTTGAAATGCAAATTATGTGGGCCTTTAAAAGATGACCGAAATGAAAAATACAAAATTAGACTACAGCTCAAAAAAAAATAAATATTATTATTATAGTGGCAAATGCAATTAAGCCAAGTCTATGTCTATGTCTCTTTTGCTGCGCTAAAACCTTTTGGGAATTAAAGCTGAATGCTTACTTTTGCTTTTTAAACAATAAACCTTGATATGAAAGGTATTCTTTTTCTTAGAAATGTAACACTGTGTGTATTTACTTTCATTGGGGCCGTGCAAGAAATCTGAAGACTTTGTATGCCCCATTTACCCCATTCCAGTGTCGTTTGGCCATATCACTTACAGCGCAAAACAAAGCGCCGCTGTGACACTTTCCCAGAATTGCTAACTCGAAAAGTCAAAAGCAAACGCTTTGTAATGCTACTGTCGCCAGTCTGATGATGTTGCCCCCGTTGCCTGCACTCGCCGCCCCAACCCTTGGTGCCCCACAAAAGTGTATTAAAAAAAAAAAACCGATTTCATTGTTTGCATGCAACAACGTTGACGAGGCAGAAAGAAATGTCAACAAAACAGAAAAAAAATCAGACTGGGACTCGAATTGGAACTGATTGACACCAAGATGCACAGCAAACGAGGCTGAAGCACGAGCGGGGGGAAATTATTGTACAAGGTAACACTCGAAAACTAATGCGCTTATCAGAGAAAATTGATCGGGCCTACGAGAGCGTACCGTCTCCTACAATGAATGCAGGTGATTGTTGCTTGTATGTGGAAATAATTAACATGTACTTTCGATTTCGTGACTTGAGGTCTGGAGGCCCGAAAAGAAAAGCAGCCCGTGGAAAAGTGAAACGAAATGGAGCCACAACTGCCACCTCCACCCCTACCGACATTCTCACACACTTCTCCGGAGTACAATCAATAACATTTGTAATGTCAATAATGACAAGCCCGACAAGGCGTCGTCGGGCAGTTCTCGAAATTGAAAGTTTATGGCTGATGGATTTGATGAATTACCCAACCAGAAAGCCGTCCAAGCACCTTGCATATCATTTTAGGGTACCCCTCGCAGCGATAAGAACGCGCCGATAAGCCAGTCGAGTGATTTCCCAATGCAAGTCAAGCGTAATATCTGGAATCAATCATAAAACGCATTTATTGATTGGCCAGCTACAATGTTGTACCCTGTTTTTCTCCAGAGTAGCCAATTGAGGTCGCCAAAGTAATCCCTCGATCGGCTGGGGCTGGGCGCCAAGTGCGAAATTAGGGTTAATTGAGATATGTTTTTTAATAGAGAATTACTTGAAAATCCTAAAGCGTTTTAGAACCTAAACGTTGATTGCACAATGCGGGGCAAATGGGCCAGCCACATGAGTTCAGCTTCAATGACTAGCAAAATCCACATCCGGACTAAACTTAATTAGCACACACGAGTTTGGAGAACATATTTGAAAATAAAGATAAATTATCAAAAATTCAAACGAAAACCAGTTGCATTTCTTGGCTATAAACAAGACTATTATAGATGCACAGTGAGTAAGATATGATCAGACAGTGTCTAAATAATCCGCTTATTGTTAGATTTATAGCACGACTACTGCGGGCATTTCTAATTAATCGTGTTGCCATTAGCATAGCCATAAGCCAAGACTATAATGTATATATAGCTATTCAATTATTTCCTCGATTTTATAGCGTGATTCTACACATTCGCACATTGTCAGATATTAACGATCAATTTCTAATCGATACAAATTATCTCTGTGCCTATGTAAATGTCAGCAAGTGCTCAATAAAAGATATGTATACCGCAGATTTCAATTAGATGCTTATTTTTATAAAACATTTCCAGTCGATTATTCAAGTGGTCAACAACGTCGATTAAAGCCTTTACGCCATATTTAGTTAATCTTTGATCTGAACTTTAACGTATGGCTACAAAATGAAATGAATAATTGTATATTTAATACTCGTTTTTTTTACACTCTTTTTATAGTATAGCAAAGTATAGTGTATTCAGTTATGCCAAAACTGTTGATAGCAACTTTTTACATGAATGTTTGTATGTATGTGTATATTTATTTGTGTTTGTAGGTATGTATTCATGCAGAAGCGCAATTTACTTCTCGCTGCGCTGAAAATATATATACAATTATTTTTAAATACAGCCCTACTATGCGATTCTCATGAATTGCAGTTTACTTCTCGCTGCGCTGAGAATATATAATAAATACAACTATTTTTAAATACCGCCCTACTATGCGATTCTCATGAATTCAAGTAATCCCATAAGGATGTAATGTTTTTTATTATGAGCATTATATTTACCAGTTTTGTATATTATATAGTATATCTCATTCTCTTTATATTTCTCTTGCTGTTCCCAGAACTTACTCTTTATATCTTTTTGTCTTTCAGATATGTGAATATATTGTTGTCTGTCTAATTTACCATTGGTATTAACTATGCGAATTTTTGGGTAAGTCATATATGTTCATATATGTATATTTAAAGGTAAATTTGAATTTATGTTAAGGCAAATCGGATATATTATCTTTTACTTATATAAGAATGTAATATGAAAACAAAAGAAAAAATCAGTCGAAATTTATTGAGAAATTAATTTTTATATTGATTAGATTTATACAGTTTTAGCTAGAACAAGTTTGATAACTACTTTGGCATAGATTCTTATATTAGATCAGATTATTATATTATTATGTATTATTCTACGATTAGCTCTCTGTTGAAATTTGATAAGTCAACTCTTGCGTTATCTGAAGTATGACCAATTGAATCCATATACGCAGTGGTTAATGTTGCATTACGACATTTTCACCTATGCCGCAAATCGATTACACGAATTGCCGAAGCAATCAAGGTATTAACTCTTGCCAAGACCCATATGGTAGCCCATGCCCCCTGAAAAGGAGGGACTGCAAAGCTCAGCTGCACCTATAATAAAAAGTTTACAACAACAGCAAACTTATAAAGCCACTTAGCGGTCTAGAATGTCGAAAAAATTTATGCTTGAGTGCTAATAATGTTCAATGAATTGTTGTACGAGTATTGAGGAACCTTTGAAGCGATAAACCAACAAAATTGTTGAAAACTATGACAGACGACGACTACGACGACTGCCAAGTCGAAGACGACAATAAAATGAAATAACATTATAAGTACTATATACAGATACAGATACATATTTACGAGTATGGGCCCTAGGCGCGGGCACGAGTAACCTGGCCAAGCGCAACGAACTTGAAGCTAACGCGCCCCAAGATTATCTGAGACGGGCAAAACCATAAACAAATAAGGAAAAAATTCAATCCGAACGACAACGTTCTTGGTAGGTGGACTGCAACCGTGTGTATCTTTGTGTGCGTGTGTATCTGTGTGTGTGTGTGTCATTACAGCTGCGGTTCATTGACATTGAACGGGTTGACAGTTGGGTTGACGTCGGATCTTGGCTGGTTCGGGGGAGTTGTGTGTAGAGCGAGAGCTCCAGAGTTGGATTGTGTTTTGTTTTGTGCAACTGCGTTTTTAATTGTGCATGCAATGAAAGCGGCACTCAAAATGCACTTGTTAGATGGCAGACAGAGAAGAGACACATACACAGTGGGAATCATCAGGCAGAAACACAATAAGGACTAGGGCTAGTGGCAGGACCAGGACTAGGCTACTCTCTGTTTGGCTGGTTTGCCGCTGCCTCGAGTGCTGCATGCTCACGTGTAATTTCTACGAATTCACAAAGCAGTTACAAAAGGCAAAGACAATGCAGAGGCATGCGGCATGTTGCATGCGGCATGCGGCAACGGGGGCTTCAGGCCGGGTACTACGCGGAACCTTGAGGGTTGCATGACCTATATCACAGTTTAGAGACCAGGCAACGCTTCCCAGCAGCAGCAGCAGCAGCAGCAGCTCGACTTCGAAGACGTTGACGACAACTTTCCCAGGGCATCTCACGGCACGTCTCGGTCCATATGACAAATGTTTCACATCAGTGCGTTCCGACTGCGGCAATTACCTGCCTATGCGACTGTTGTTGTTATTATTATTGTTATTCCTCCTAAGATCCCTCCCGGCGTCACAGCTCAGTTGGTCGTCCGTTGCGTCTTGCTGAGCTTCATACCAAAAAAAAAGAAATGAGCCCCTGGTCTGCAGCTCAGAGCTCTGCTTCTATACTGAATCTTCGGGCTCAGAGAACAAGTGCTTCGCCTGGCAGGACGTCGTCAGGGTATGACTTTATGGCGCACAGTTCACCACAGGAGCTATGGCAATGCTAGATCTAGTTTTTCCTGGTCTAATTTTTTCCCTTTTGAACTGACTGATGCTGCAGCTGATTACTCAATTAGAGTGTGTGAAATGCATTGAGAGCATGTAATTATTCGGAAATTGAGAATTGATTTTCACATGTGCGAAAGTGCACAACTGACGACTCAATTTGAATTGGAAGGAAACGAACAATAAACGTCAGGAAGTATCCGTCATAAATAATTTTCATATGCTAAGTGGAAAGTAGTTCACGCTGAGTTCTCAAGTGGAAAAAGCTGTGCAGCTGGGTAAATGTAATAGAAAAATATCAAAAAATCTATTTAAGAAAATCTATAAATGTCAGAAGAAGTTGCCAAATTGGGACGAGGTGGGAAGTTATGAGACTTATGTGAATCCTAAAATGCAATGCAATGATCGCCAAATTTGCATTTACATTCTATTCTATATTTTGTTATATTTATATTCAGAGTCGAAATTGTTAAAAACAACGTGAGATGCGATTAATTGTCCGATTCTAGAAAAGGTCGGCAGCTTTATTCATATAATTAAAGCTGCATTCTTGTGATTACGGCAAATGTGGCTTTTGGGCCTGGGGGAAACCAAATTTGAGTGGAATGCAAGCGAGGGATCCACAATCTGGCTTTATAAGGTCAATTCACACAATCAATTGGGAATGAAATACGTTGTTCAAGATCAAATTTAAGCCGATTTATGAATGTCAGAAGCGCTTGACAAGCCTGCAGCCAATAGGTAAATGACCAACGCAAATGGATTGGAGTGATTAAAATAAATATAAAAAATGAATAAACTATGGAAAATTTGTTGGTCGGTGTGCTGCATTATGCAAAGCAGCGCATCGACTTCGTATTGGACTTGGACCCCGTGGCCAGTGAAAAATTAAGCGGCTTTATCAGTGCCATCACCCGCATGCAAAGACAGAGACTCTCGGAGACTCTGCTTCTGCCTCTGCCTCTGCCCGGCTTCAGTCGCCGACTGGCCGTGGACTCATTAATTTTTGTGGGGCTCAGCACAGTAGTCGGCATTGAATACAAAGCCAGAATGCAGAATGCCTAAATGGCTCATTAGGGTCTTTAATTAAAGCCACTTGGCCTGCGCCAACACAAGTCGGTCAACTGGGCCCCAAGGGTCAGCCAGAAGCCAAAAGAAAGCGGCAGAAGACAGCGCAACAAAGACACGTCTTGCCACCAGCTACCGCACAGTGGTACAGCTATAGGGCTTTACGGATAAAGCGGGGCAGGGTGGGTACGCGGACTTAGCTCACCTAATTAGATGGCCATTGTCTTACTGCGTGCGACAGTTGGGCAGAAATTATTGCAATAGGTCTAGAGGCAGACAAACGAGTACCTGGCCAAGGTCTGGGCCCATATGGTTACCCGCAAGAGCCGCAAGTCTCCGCATTAAATGAGCTGAAAAAAAAACGTCATCAATTCTGACAGAAGATGCAGCAACCCGGCAAGATTTGCTAATCTGACCCTCGTAATAGACAATCAGCTGGGTTCCCTCTCTCTGGACCAGAGCGGCAAAAGATCCTCATCATCATCTTCGTTTGCTGTGCTGATTCATTTCGCTGGCCGCAAAGATTAGCTGATCATGATAAGAATGTTCTTTTGTGCAGTCGATGAGCTCATCATTATCAACAGGCCCAAGCAACCCTTTATAAATTGCAATGGAATTTATCATAGAGGAAGCTCGTTGAAAGGCTATTTCAATGCTTGTTTTCTACGAGAAACTGATCTTATCCCGGATTTGTTGTGAGTGCATGTGTTTCCTATATGAGTTCTTATCGGGATTACACAAAATGGCCATGATCAGTGTTGATTTATGTGCGTATTTATTATACATATATTAAGAATGTGAATTGAAAAAAAAAAACTAAATCCAGTTTATGTCTATATATAAAACTGTTTGTCCTGACTGACTGACTGACTGATTGGTGATCAACGCACAGAAACATACCGGAGCTCGGAAGCTGAAATTTTCACTGTAGTTACCTTATGTGGTTTACAGTTTCGGGAAATTCCACCCGCATGTGTGAAAAAATCGTGAAAACGTTTGTATGCAACTTTTATATTTACCATCCGATCGGCCTCAAACTCATTTCAAAGATCTACAAAAGAACTTTATGATTAAGTGTTTCAGCGATTTCCACCCGTTCGGCTTAAAAATCAATGCTAAATACGCCCTTCGTGGATGATGATTGCGGGTAAATATATCAAATTTTTGTTAGCACAAAACTTGCCGTGGGCAAGGCCGGGTAATACCCGCTAGTATATACACATATATATTATCAACTTAGCCTACAACTGACTCGTCATATAATTACATATCCATCAAACCCAAAACGAGCAGCTCTTGCATTCTGTGTGCTGTACCAATTGCTGTCTCCTACCTGACAGCAACACCAAACTTGATCTTCCACCAGGTGAATGCATAAAGAATCCGCTGCTGCTTAGGCTTGTGCGCCCACAAATTGCTCTTCAGTCCCGAAATACCGAAATAAGATATCTGCACGTAGCTGTAATTTAAAACCCCACCAGTGAAAAAGAAAGAAAAAAATTAAAAAAAGCAACAACTACAAAACGAGAAATGGTCTCAGGCCCCGTCAGAAACCTACAAATACACAAACACACACACACACATACACACAGAGAGACACACGCGTATTATCCTACGGCAATAATTTCTTTTCTCAGACAAACGGCCGAACAATACAAATGTAGAGATATGTCATTTGCCAGGCAAAACGAAATCGAAGAACAGAACAGAACCGAAATGAAGATCGATGCTCCATAACAGTACGACTGGGACAAGAACTGGAACTGGAACTGGGACTGGGACTGCGCTGGAACTGAGACTGGGCAGGCAACATGTGCGCCGCTTTGTAACGCCAATTATGGGCCCATAATTCGAAGGCATTGTCTCGAGCACAAAAGACGAACTGAGCGAGCATTACACGAGCGAGAAGAAGAAGATCATTTCCCAAACACACACACACACATATGCACACGCCTCAGGCCCTAGTTCTTGGCGATGCGTAACGAAGCGGCAAATGAGCAAAAGCCGCTTGCTGAGCGCATTGAGCACATTTGAGCGCATCTTTGGCCAGGTAGCGCGCTCTCTCCCACCCTCGCTCAGTCGATCGGACGTGTTGCCGCTCTCTCGCTCTTGAGTGGAGTTAACAGAGCGCGCTTGACGATCGAGCCGAGCTGCCTTCGGCTCTGCTCTGCGTGCTGAGCGCTAATCAGTTTATTTGCAGACGTAGCCGCCGCCGGACGTGTGTGTGCAGCGCCAAGAGTCAAAAAGAAGCCAAGATACAAATACAGATAGAGATAGAGATTGAGATACCGATACGGATACAGTGAAAGTGTGCCGCAGCAAAAGATACTCGTAATTACGTGATCGTGATCCGAGTGCGTACAGAGGTAGAACGAACAGAACAACGATATATAAGATACAATGGAGGGCCTGCCACGCGCATTAAACTACGAACTGTCGCATGATCTGCATTTCGATCATTTCGGCGGCGCCGCACAACAAATATTAGAGAACGGCAAGAACCCCGCCGCCGCGGAGGCCTCAACACCCACGATCAGCACACTGGATGCGCTGGCCAATAGCGATTTTCTGCAAAAGATTGGAGCCACCATCTTCAACTCGATACAGCTGAAGCATCACAAGCTCAACGAAGCCCTCGCACAGAATTCCAGCGAAGTGACCATGGATTACGACTTTAGCGCTAACCGTGTGGTGCTGGACAGCAGCAGCGTGGATCAACTGCAGCAGCAGCTGGAGTACGACAAGTTCATGAACGAGGTGTGGATCGGCATTGTCTTCACCCTAATCTTGATCTCCATGGTCTTCTGCATATGCTCCTGCTTCCTGTACCATCAGTTTCGCACCTGGAAACGAAATTGTAAGTAAACCCCATCGGATTCCACAGCTGTGACAAGTCGCCGCCTTCAGAGCAGTCGCTTTTTGATAGGAGGGTGTGTACTATAAATAAGTACGATTAGGCCTTATCAAACAACATCAAGTACATAATACTGAGCTAAAGGTTTTTCCTGCTTTGCTTGGCATTTATGATTAGCGTCAAGGGGCACGGAAAGTTACACAGCCATCGACTGAGGTCTACGTGCTAAAATGTAGAACACAACTTCAAGCAGCTCTCGGGCGATATTCATGAATGAATCAGAAACGCCATGAAATTGCGAAACAATCTTGAATGGGAATTATCGTAAGGCTAATAACAAAGATTACTTTAGCTGAAATGCTAATCGCATCAGCCTTTGCGAGCCACTCTAATAGGCCTGAACTTAGTTGGCCTAAGCATAAGCTAATGCTAGCAATTAGCTCGGGACTTACTTAAAGCTACACACGTGTAAGCTTTAATTTGAATAGACTTTGACTTTGAGAGCTATTCACACTCTGAATTCTCGTCGAGTTCTAATTTTTGTCGTTTCGGCCTTCAAAAGAATTGGCACATAAACCGTGGCCATGGTTTCTTGTTCTAAACTTTTCTTTTCTTTTTAATGCTCATGTTTGCTGTGCAAGCAGAAAATGTATGAATAAAAAGCGTAAAAAAAGTGGAACATAAAAAAGATTCATGCAAAGCGCATTTTGTGAGCGGCAAACAGGTTGAGATTAAAATACAAAATAAATGCACACAAAACTATATATACGATATAGTCCAGTGCGGCGTGCATGTAATTAATATTGTTGGCTAACATATAAATAAAAGTAAACTATTAAAACACGTAATAAAAATACAAATGTGTAAATGGAACTGGATCATTTCTCAAAGCGACTTGGCACAATCACACTCATGCAATCCGCAATCCCTGAAGTCTGTCAACTAATCAACAACCTTTCTCTCCGTGTACAGATCATAACAATGCCAATAGCTCATCGCAGTGCACAATTATTGATATCGAGGCACTGAAATTGCAGCCCGATTCGGAGGATCCGGTGCCGGAATACACATTGGTCTCCGGACTGCCCAGCTATGAAGCTGCCTTGGAGTTGCTGCATAAAACCCCGCAATCGTCGTGCCTGATTGTCTATCCAAGCGTGTTTAATATATTCAATAAGCATGAAAGAGGAACAGCAGCAGCAGCAGCAGCAACATGTGCAACGACAGCAACAACAACAGACGTAGTAGAAGCTGCAACACCAACAACAACAACTACATCGCGGACACAGTCGCTGCCTTTGTGTGAGGCATCAACTCCGCTGTTGCCAACAACAACAACAACAACAACAACAACAGCAGCGACAGCAGCAGCAACAGCAACATCCACACCCACATGCGAAGGCATTAAGTCCAATTTTGTGCCCAGCTATGCTGAGGTATTTGGCTTTAAGACCATCGACGAGAAGAAGAAATCTGCGCGTTGCCAAAACCAAACGAGAGACGAGACATCGAAAGGCCAAGGCGATAAATGCTAAACATAGTATGGCTCTCCAGGGTGTGTAACACCGAGATCTGAACTACTTAGGTAGATGGTCAAGATCTCAACGATACCAACCAAAATGTGCTCTGTGATAATTGTTGCTGTTGTGGCTAAATAGTTGGCCGCGATTCGATGCGATATGATATTTATGTACTTAGATTCAACTAAGCGCTGTGATTATAGAAAAAGAAAGAAAGAAAGACAGACAACTCGCAACAAATGATATAAAAACTACCTGTACTTATAAATACCTACATTCTCTATAAAGATTTGTTCAGCTTTATTGCTTTATTGTTATTAGCTTCTAAGTAGACAACAATGTGACGCATATTAAATTATACAAATATTATACTTAAATATATATAGCTCGTCTTCTATTGTTCATAAACTAACTTCAACTGCTGCCATCAACGCCCTTTGCATTCGCATTTATTATTTTGCCATCAATCAAAGTGGCATTCAACTTGATTTTCAGTCGCTGCATCTGATTTGATTGACGCCTGAATCAGAAACCATTCGGCGCCTATCTATCAGCCCCATCGTATCCCGGCAAGGGCTTTCCCAGGCATTTCTTTGTTGAGCTTTATAAATAGCGGCAACAGCTCAACGGATGCCAGACCAGATTGAGATAGTTGCCACCCAAGCAGATAGACAGACGGACAGACGGACAGATGGAGACAGTTTGACTTTGACATTCAGCAAAGAACGTGCCACGTGATAAGCTGCATAGAGAAGCCAGCTGGACTCTAAAGAGTATGTGCTATTGTATGCGATTCTACGAGTACTTGCAATGCAATTGTTCCTGTCATTTGTATTGATAAGCTCGCCAGACTCGGTCCAGCTATGCAAATTTGTTTACTTGTGCTCTGCTCAGCTCAACTTGGACATAAATAATGATGTTACAAAGTGTTTGTTTTTTTTTTTTCGAAGCTGTAAAGATGTGTGCTACAAATACTAGTAAACAAAAAAATCAAGTCACAGGGCACAAAACGTGCGCCAAAACAATGTTAATAGATCGCTTACATTTATTGCTCCTAAGTGGTTCGAATAAAACTAAATGAGCTATACAAAGGTTTTGTTCGAGAACCGGTTTCTTTTCAACTGAAACACTCTGAATTTAACGGAAAATTTAACAATCATGTAATATCTTTTGGATATTGCAAATAATTTGATTAGATGCAAAGTTAATTTTACAATCAACTTTATCTGTCGGATAAAACATGTGCTTATGAATCGCATCAATTAAGCAACCATTTAATATCTTTTGGATATTGCAAATAATTTTATTAGAAATAAAGTTAATTTTACAATCAACCTTATCTGCAGGATAAAACATATTTGCTTTTGAATCGCAGCAATTAGACAATCTTTTAGATATTGCAAATAATTTGATTAGAAACAAAGTTAATTTTACAATCAACTTTATCTGTCGGATAAAACATGTGCTTATGAATCGCAGCAATTAAACAATCATGTTATATCTTTTGGATATGGCAAATAATTTAATTAGAAATAAAGTTAATTTTACAATCAACTTTATCTGTAGGATAAAACATATGTGCTTATGAATCGCAGCAATTAGACAATCTTTTAGATATTGCAAATAATTTAATTAGAGATAAAGTTAATTTTACAATCAACTTTATCTGTCGGATAAAACATATGTGCTTATGAATCGCAGCAATTGAACAATTATGTAATATCTTTTGGATATTGCATATAATTTGATTAGAAATAAAGTTAATTTTACAATCAACTTTATCTGTCGGATAAAACATGTGCTTATGAATCGCAGCAATTAAACAATCACGTTATATCTTTTGGATATGGCAAATAATTTAATTAGAAATAAAGTTAATTTTACAATCAACTTTATCTGTAGGATAAAACATTTGTGCTTATGAATCGCAGCAATTAAACAATCATGTTATATCTTTTGGATATGGCAAACAATTTGATTAGAAATAAAGTTAATTTTACAATCAACTTTATCTGCTGGATAAAAAAGCTGTGCTTACGAATCGCAGCATTTGCGAACAGACTGCATTTGATTGCACTTTTAATTTATTTATTTGTCACTCGGCGTTATTTATATTTGCTAACGTATTTTTATCTACCCAATTGCAATTTCCCCGCTTATCTCTGCCGTACGTTTCGCAATTATTATTTGTTTGCTGCAAATGGCAATAACAAATTGCTATGAAAGTCGCGAAAATGCGTCGCCAGGCAGCGCACCTATGGGGCAGGTCAGGTGAGCGCGCTGGCAAATAAAATTCCATAACTATAAAGTGGATAGCGCAAATTATTCACTTTACAACTTAACATTCATCATAGTATTTGCCGGCTCTGAAACGAGTGCAGCAACTGCCACAGCAGAGGCACCCGTGCTCGAGGGAGGGTATCCAACCACTTGCTATGCATGCGCGAAAAGGTGCCAACTGCCAGTTGCCATTTGCGATTTGCATATTGTGTGGCAGCGTGTTCCAGTCGCGCAAATAATATATTTTAATTGTAATTGCAATTTATGACAGCACTAAGTTTATTTGACACTTTATGATATTTTCTATGCATTCTAAGTGGCCCCCTGGGTTCGGTGGAAAACAAAAACTGAAATGGAGAAATGACTCACTGCCAAAGCCTCACTTGGTGGGGCTTCAGCTTTCTGCTTCTGTTTATATCGATTGACGAACTTTTTGCTGTCCCCAAAAACAAAGCAAACCTGTCAAACTGTAGAATGTGCCGCAGTGTGTGCAAATTATTTCATTAGCCGGCATCGATATCAAACAACGCAAAATATTCCAAAAATGTTGCGCATGCGCGTGCCTATCGATGCGTGCCCGGACTATGTTTCCCGTCTGCCGTCATTCATAACGAATCCACTCACGTAGGCTCCATATACTGCCAAAACCGATTAAGTATCCAGCTCTCGAACTAACATGCATACGTATCTATACTAGTATTCTCTGTCATTGCACAGAATTCATTCTCTCTCAATAACTTGGGATTCGGAAGAAAAAACCCAACCAAACCATACATGTATTTGAACAATATCTGTTAACCGACCGAACTTTCTTTCTTAAGCATAAAGAGTAAGAGTTTAAAGTTGAAATATCTATAAGATGTTTCCATCCGTTCTATAAGGTATGTCTTAAGTCAAGCTGTTAACAGACTTTGCTATTTCTATTAACAACATGTGTTACAATGAAAACTCTTAAAGTATTGTTAGCTGTTCAGTCTAATAGTTAATTGCTCACAAAACGGGCAAATATTTGTAGTGCGTACTTGAAATTGTTGCTAATGAGTTTTGGTTTATGCAAACTAATTGATCGGCTAATGGGCTGAAGCGTAATGGTTTTATAAAATTTGCCATATACTCTGGGTACTCGCCTAATACCTTAGTCACGCCTTGAGGCTGCCTTTGAAATCGACTCGTATCATAATATCATCTTAAGAAATCTCATTTGCATTTGATATGGCACGCCTCGAAAAGTTTATTGCAAAAGCAAGAAAACATGTGTTGTCCGGACTGCATATCAAAATATTATACAACATAAACAACATAATTAGCTTACAATTCAAATAAAATGCCCAAATCCGTAACTAAATGCAGATGCATCTGTTCAAGCCGAGGCCGAGGCAGAGGCCGAGGCAGAGGCCGAGGCAGAGGCCGAGGCAGAGGCAGTTGATGATGGGCGGGAGAAAGAAAGCGCAACCAAAGGGCAAACAATTTATTAAAAAACCATCCACGAGATGCAGATACAGTGAAAGTTGCCCTGTGGAGTCTGCCAGCCAGCCAGCCAGCCTAATGAAACGAACAATTTATTAATAAAATGCACATTAGCCCACGGTTTAGGCCAAGCTAAAACTTGGCCTCGGTCCCTCCAACGGCAGCGGTATTTAGTTGAATGAATTTTCAATTAAGCGCCAAATTCGTTGGCCAAAGCTCTGGAATAGCTGCAGACGCCCCGCCGCCGACGATGTTTGAAAGTGAAAACCGGTCGAACGACGAATCCGAATCCGAATCCGAATCCAAATCCACATCGACGACGTCATACGCAACATTTGACCCACTTTTCAGGAGGTGGCGCAAAAAATTGGCAAGCCAGTTTGTTTTTATTTTTTTTTTTTGCACATTATTTGCTAGAAGCGGGTGCATAAATAAATATATTGACAAATATTTATATTGGGTCAGTTTGGTTCGTGCATATGGTATTTTGGCAAATAAATAGCCAAGTAAATACATCTGTAAATATATATGAGAAATATTTAATAAATTGCTTAAACTCGTTGAAAAAGTTACGCAAAAAATACAAATATTTCGTTTTTTGCCAAGGCCCAAGCCTCAACGAAATATTTAAAATATAGTATGTAATTATATAATCGTAAAGTCTTATTAAATAGTATATTGACTGAATTAAAAAGACAATTGACTTGTAGGCTGACTAAAATAATTAATATTTATAAGAAACCTACTACTATTGAGACTCGATGCATTTATAGATAATTAATTGAGTAATCGCCGCGTAGTAAATAGCGTATGATATATTAACATTTAGTATTAAGGCATTCCAGAGGGATTTTTTGCATCAGAATTTACACATTCTATTTGATTTGAATTCAGCTGTGTCTACCTCGCTGCCTTGTCGTGTGTCAAAAGGAACTAAACTCTTAAAACACATCTATTTGCACTCGCATTAAAAGTCACACTGCCTCAAAATGTTTGCGCCTCGTGTCGTGTTTTGCTTGTTTTTATTTATTGTTTTTAAAAGCCGTGCGTTAATTGTACTTAAATATTCAGCTTTGAAATATTTATCTCTTTCCTTTCGACTTGAGCAAACATTTTCGGAACACACGACGCGGCTGATTTTACATGGCTTTTATTTAACTTCTACTCGTGTTTTATGACCCCAAAAGGTGAATGAAAGGTTTGGCTAAAAACAAAAGCAGCTAAGTAAACGTGAAATTATGGGCACTGGCTATAAAGATTTTGCCATTTGATTTGTTTGCCCTTCGCAATGTGCCACGGCAAATGCGGAGCTCGAATAAATATTTAAAATGAATATTTATTATATTAAAAGCTGAATAGAACATTTTCTAAGAACGAATTAATTTCAATGAAAGGCATGCAAAATCTACTTAATGCATATGTAACAAATGCAACAACCCAACCCGAGCACTCATGGTATCTCGCAAATAGTTGAATCAATAAACAAATTCAAATGGTAACTATCATAAATTATTATTATTAACAGAATATTGGATAGTTATACACTATTAACCTGACTTTTAAATATAGCTAGCTACTACTGCATTTAGCTAGGTTAATACTTACATTCCCTTACCTGGAATTCAGGTCTATTATTCTGTGGGTAGCTGCGATGCACTGTATACCCTGTATGCATTGCAAATGGATAGAATGTTGACTTGGCTGTGAGTGCGAGTGCAGTTGGCAAAATACTTGAAAGTTCACTCACTCGAAATATGCAAATTATCATCTCGGATTGGGTCAAGTTTGACATGTAAATAAACGCTGGAAATATCGAATAAATACACAAACGCAATAAAGTTCAACTTTATGCTAAAAAAGTTAAATCAAAACGAAAATATAGATGCCAGTTAGGCATTTTTAAAAACTGTTTGTTTTAGTCAACAAATCAAATTAGATTCAGCCGGCAGCGAAATAAAAGTTCTCAGAACGAATAAAAATGCAAATAAAAGTTAGATGAGAGTCAAAGTTATGGGCATGCAGCAAGATGCTCGCCAGACCTAAACGTGAACCCAACTCATAAAAAATAGAACTATACAGAGAGAGTGGGAGAGAGGGTCGAAGAGGGTTTAAGAGTGTTGCTAACTGCTAACTGTTCCTATCTGGGCGCTTGCATCAGAAGACATCAAAGCGCAGCATTCGGGCCAAGGGGTAAAGGGTTTCGAGGTAGCTACAGATACAGATACAAATGCAGACACAGCCGCAGTTACAGATACACAGATGCAGCCACAGCCACAGCCACAGCTACAGATAGAGATACATTCACATATAAAGTAGGTTGCTTGCAGGTTTGTTTTGCTGATAAGCTTCGCGTCGCAAGATTAACGTGTTGCGCACTCCCTCTGACACATGCGCTCCATCTCTTTTAATGTGTTTTAATTTTATGGCCCAAAGATTTTATTTTGTAACTTAATGTTTGTTTAGCTTGGCTTGAATTGGATTGGCTTGGCTCGGATTGCTTGCGAGCAGCAGGTTGCTGTTGCTTTTGCTGCCAGATTTCAAGAGAAATACACTAAACCCGCGATGCTCCGTTTAGTTGGAGTTTGGTTCAGGGATTTGAGTTTTATGGTCCAATCTGGCAGGTCTTTAATTGTATCTATTTGTAGTGCTTAAGCTGTCTGTTTGCTGTGACAACATTGGACTTAGCTAAAAGCGGATGAGAACAATATGAAGTCGCCTGTTTAAGATGGGATTATATAATATTTACAATGCAAAATAAAAGCCAACATCAAGAGGGCTCGAGAATCTAGCTTTTATTGTATTGGTAACATATTTTTAGCATTCGCTTACAGAATCAGCTCAAACTGGTTGTGTTAATTCTCAAAGTTGTATTTTAAAAGCTGACACCCGTTCTAAACTTGATCCAATTCTCAGTCAAACTTAATTTAAATGAATTACATGTATTTAATTGCCCATCAGATCGGATTAGCACTTGGGTGCACGCAAATCTTTTCATTGACTATTACAAAATATTATTAACCGAATATATGCCAATTAAAAACAATTTAGGAAATTTAATTATCTGTCAGCTTGGCCGGGAAACATAAGACATAATCCAAGCAGATAAAAACTATTATTATAATGGGTTATAGTGAGGTTCACTTGACAGGGTTCAATGTTCTTTCAACAAAACACAATTGTTTTTGTTATAAAAACCAAAATTAAGGAAATAGCTCAGCCATAAAGGAAAGCCGGTTTGCTATTTACGGTGTCTGCTTCCGTAAGAATCTGCGAGAGAACAACACGCCACACTGAACACATTGCCGAGTCCAACTAACTTGGGTAGGAAACTAACTAAGCGTCTGATAACTTTGGCCCCAGCTCGAATGGAACCTATATCTGCATGTCAAATTTGTATGTTAGGTCTGATTAGTTTCTTATCAAAGGTTCTGCTGTGCTGCTCTAGTGGGTGCCATTAATCACAAGCCCATTTAGTATAGTTGTCAGCAATGGTTTCGCATAGACGTGGCTTCCATGTGTTCTACCTCTGCATCATACTCCTGCTGCTAGTCGCGCTCTATTGGAACACCCAGGCCAAGCTGAAGGCCTCCAGAGTGGGGCGTATTGCCAAGAGTGGGTCAATAGCAACACAATCCATAGTCGCTGACCCACTCTACGATAAGATTCGTGTCCTTTGCCTGGTGACCTATAAATACTGGTACTCCGATGCGGCCAGGTATGTGAAGCGCACGTGGGGCAGGCATTGCAATGTGCTACTGCTGGTTAGTGGGCAGTCGGATCTGGAGCTGGAGCCCTATGTGCCGCTGGTCAACACAACAGACAATTGGACTCTGGTGCGAGAGGGCCTTATCTACGCGTTCGAATACTACCAGCACGAGGTCGATTGGTTTCTCAAAATCGAGGACTGGAGGTATCCATAACTTTATTTGAATTGTGGCATTCATAAATTGCCGGCTCACTCTTTGTCATTATTTTTTATCGCTTGCATATTGTTATGACATTCAAAACATTCGTTTCACTTCTTTATGTGCTGCCCCCCCCACTCCGGTTGCATTTGACTTTTCATTGATAAAGTTATCAGCCTCTGGCTATGGGTTTACGGTTCGGTTCCGTTCCGTTCCGTTCAGTATCATTCTTTCCATTCTCTTTTCTCGTTTTCTTGTGCTTCCTTTGCTGCTTTGTGGTTTGGCTCACACAACGTTTCCTTTATCAACTGCGCCACGGCAGCAAGGAAGTATCTTTTGAGAGCAGTTTTTATCTGTATCTGCCTTTTGTCGTCATCGTCAAGCAACAACAACAACGAGAACAACAACAATTACATGCATATGCGCTTAGCTGATTGCACTCCAGGGAGTTTTTCTTTCATAATTGGTACAAATTTTGTTAGCTCTTTGAAATACAAACTGAACATTTTCCCAGACCCAAGTCGCAGATAGTCAAATCAAATTTGTTATTTAAATAGTGGATGAAGATTATGTTGATTAGCAAAATACAAAATATTAACTGAAATTAAATTGAAGAATATTAGTATATAAATAGCTATAGGTATATGCACAACTTTCTCTCATACAAACCAGCACTCATTACATTCATATTTTAATCCAATTATTTAAAGTTCAGCAAATGCGAATACAAAATGCGATTAAAAGTAATTTTAATAGGTAATGCACCAATATTTTCGGTTGAGCTGCACGTTGACACAAATTAAAAATGTATTTATATAATTTACCAGCGAAATTATCATCATTTATTGTGTTTTTCATATAAAGCGCATTTCAAGATTGAACATTCATTTTTTCTATAAATAATTGCAATGCAAAATACTAATAGCAAATAATATAGCGTTCATTTCTAATCTGCTTTAATTATTTGTATATTTTCTGTAAAATAAGCGACGTTTAAGATTAATGTACTAGCGACGTCATATTCTGCGCTTATCGCTGACATTTTTATTTGATTATTTTTTATTATATATTTTTTGTCGAGGAAAAGTTAGTGTTAAAGGGTCAATTAAGTCTTAGTGCGCTGTCAATGGAAGTTTCGTTTAATTTATGCCGACACACATAATTGGAAATTTATTACAAGTGATGTCAACACCAGCGACAGAGAGAGACAGAGAGCGAGGGAGTGAGGGAGAGGGCGTGACTGAGGGAATATGAAATATCGAAGCATTGAAGTCAAATTTAATGGGCCTTGAAATGAGGCATCTTGTCTACCACTTGTCGACTTCTAATGAAATCATTTTTTCATATTTTATTAACAAAGTTCATTCTTAAGCCTTTACCAGTTTCTCGGTTAGGGGCAAGGCCCCCAAAATCGATGTGCAAAATTTAATTAGTTATATTCATATTCCCAACTGAGCACATACTCCAAGCACTCCACAGGTAACGAAACCTTCGACAAGTGTGCTGCGAACCGGTTCTAGTTTGTTTATATGGTGGGAAAAAAAATCTAACTTAAATCAAGCGCTAGCACCTCAGCTTATCGGCATTATCAACAATTATTTTGGCTCTTTGTTTGGCAAATAAATCAACAAACACACACACAGACACGGACACACCTCTAGCTGACCTGTGTGTGTATAGAATTTGTTTAAGTGTACGCGTGTTAAATGTGTTTTTTTTTTTCTCAATTTATTATTTTTAGTTTTTTTTTATTGTTTTCTTTTTGTTTAGTTTGTTTACTGCGCACATTTTCGGCTTGAACTTGGCATTGTTTGCATTGGGTCGCCATTCATTCAGAAACGGATATTCGGATCTTCACTTGCCGAATCTTGTTGACACGGTTTTCAAATAATAACTGTTTGCATATGGCTTTGCGTTTATTTGCATTTTTTATCTCCGATGTTTTACCTATGGATTTCTTTGTATGCACAACAGATCAGCGTTTGCAATATTTGCAAACACGATTTTGTGGCTTCAATGGAGAGTTTGTTCTGCCGAACTTTTCCGCTAAGAGTTCTAACTGACCGAATTGAAATTTAACATTTCATTTGAAATTTCATATATTATTAAAATTAAAACAATAGTTAATTTTGTAGCACTTTTAAGCTTAAAGTTCCAAGTGAAAGAATTAAAATAAATTGAAACTTACAATTTTTATAACTTAAGCTATATATTTACTCATTAGAAATTCGAATCAAATAAGTTAAGGGTCCTTAATGTATTATTATATTACAATAATGCTTTACTTATTTCACGACAAAATTATAATACCCTCAACAAGGTTATAAAAGGGTCAGTATATTGTAGGGAAGATTGTTATTATATCTTATTATATTGTTTTAATATCGAATATAATATTTTATCCTAATAAACATTTTTTTCTATTTGTATCCACAGTTTTGTTGCCGTGGAAAATCTCCGCTATATGCTTCAAAAATTTTCTTCAGCTGATCCCATTTATCTGGGCTATGAGCTCAAATATCCTGGCACCAACTTGGTAAGTCCCACAATCTAACAATAGAGCCCTCAAGTCTAGAAATACTTTTCGCTAGCCCTTCAACTATTGGAAAAGCGGCTACGTGCTGAGTCGAGAGGCCTTAAGGCGCTATACAATGGAGGCCAAGAAGCCAGATACGAAGCATTGCATGAAAAAGCAGGGCTTCACAGAGGATTTGGAGCTTGGGCGCTGTTTAATGCATGTGGGCGTGGTCACAGTCGATACTCGGGATGAGTACGGTCACGAGACTTTTATACCGATCGTCACAAGCGAACTCTTCATAAAGGGCTACGAGTATATTCCCTGGCTACGGAATATGAGTTGGCATTTCACGGATTTGGTAAATATTATTCAACATTATTGTTTTTTTGGAAAAATCTTTTGAAGAATTCTTAATTTAAATACTTACAACAGCATACGGTGCCCATATCAAGGCGGGCTATTACATTCCACGTGTCTTATCCGCCCAAAATGTTTGATTTATATTACTTTATGTATCGTGTACGTATTTTTGGCACACCTCTGCGCAATTCCATGGAGCTGCTGTCTTAATAAAGGGACCGAAAACTGTCGCAGCTGCCAGTTGGCTGTGAATCTGCCAAAGTATTTCCGTGTTTCGGATATTTCAATTACGTGTAGAGGGCAGCATCTTGGGTTACGGCTACGTTTACTTCCGTGTAACCCACATATCATCTATCATCTAACTACTTAGCCCAACAGTTTCTCACATAATTCATGCCACATACGGGTCCACAATCTCAGCCCACATACAAGCACACTGACACACACACACACACACGCAGACACACGTGGATTGAGATACGTGTTCATCAATGAAAAGTATGTCTCCCTGTCTCGCCAGGTCTTCGTTTTCCCAAGCCCTTTGTTTCCATTGGCTGCCTGCGCAAAATTACTTCCGTTTTGTTGCAACTGCAAAGTGTCATTGTTGCAACATGTCTGGCACTGTCTTCGGGCTCGGCATTCGAATCGCTATCGGAGTCTCTTGCCAAAGGGCGAAAGGCAAATTGTATGCAATATTGCGCTTTTTTCTGCTACAGCTCCGGCTGCTGTTTCCTGTGCCTCACTGTACTTGTGTGTGTGTAGGCCTTTTGTTTACCATTTTGTGCTGCCAACCTGTTAGCCAACAATGACAATTCATCTGGTAATTTGAGCACGTAAACTGAGACATTAATGCCCTATATGAACAAATATCGCTTACCTTTACTCATATTTATACGTCTTTTTTTTGACAGTTTCACGTGAATCGGCTCACATGTTATTATGTAAGTGTTTGTATCGTGTGTTGTTTTTATTTTTTTGGTTGCAAAACACCTTTTAATCAAACAATAGCTGACATTTGTTATCTAATGCGACAGTTATCTGTGTTTTTTCTACGGAATTTGTAAAGATACATAGGTGTATGCAAATCCGGCATAGATCTCAGAGAACTGACTGATGGCTTAATAACACGCAGAGTATAAGCAATGCCCAGGACATTACAGTTTTTGAGGGGAGTTGAGTAGAGTTGAGTGACATGAAAATAGTTTGCTCTTTAAATAAAACAAAATATCTTCCTTTAAACTCAGCATGTCACTTCTCCTTTCACTTATATCAGCTTATTTCTTGACCCTTTCGTTACTAAATCGCAGTTTTACAAGAGGAGTTCGGTAAATGAAGGAATATGAAAAAGTGAACACTTCAAATGGAACTATCACTTTATATTAGTATATTCCATCAAATTCAGCATGTCCATATTCCGTTCAATATACTCTACCCTTCCGGTGCCAAATTGCAGATTTTAAGGCAATTGAAGTAAATTTAAGAAAATTTAAATGTAAATGTTCCTCTTAGTTATTTCTCTCTCAAACCTTTTGAAATTAAACTGCAGTTTTAAGGAGGAGTTCAGTAACATAAAAATCTCATAAAAAGTTAGCTCTTTAAATGTAACTACATCAATTCAAAAGATCCATTCTTCGTTTACTGATACAAACAACTGTCAGCCCTTTCATTACCAAATCGTAGTTATCGAAGAAAAGCTCAGTTAAGAGAAGAACATGAAAATAGTTAACTCTTTAAATCTTCCATAAAATTCAGCATGTAATTTCTCCGTTCACATATTTCAAGTTCTGTCTTACAAATTTCGTTGCATGGGTAATTCGGTAAGTGAAAGAAGTTGAATACAGTAATCTCTTTAAATGTAACCATATATATTCCATCTAATATAAACTCCATAAAACTCGGCATGTCAATATTCCGTTCAATGATATAAACTTCGGTTTTAACCCTTTCGTTACCAAGTAGTCTTCACTGTCAGCACTCGCTTACTTTGCCGTGCTTTCAACACCTTCGCCAGCTGCTGCTTAGCCCATTGAGTACATTACCAATTCAACAATGGAGATCTCCCTCCCATCAGCTGACTAGTGTTTCGCCTTTGGCTCGTTTATCGCTTCCCGCATTCAACTGCACTTGTCAATTCTCAATTTCAAACTGCAAACGAAGCGTAACCAAAGTTTTGCATCAGCTTCAACTTGAGCGGCACGCAAAGGCATTGCCCGAGACAGCTCCCGGCAAGGTGAGTTAATATTTCTAATTGAAAAAGGCAATTTGTATGCGGCGAACCAATCGAGAGCTGGGCTGAGGTGGCGGAAACCGAGAAACTGAGACAGACAAAAGCACTCAATATAATTAAATTGTAGCCAGTATAGACCACAACCCACGGCTCACAGCCATCATATCATCATCATCATCTTTGGAACCGATTTCAGTACCAGTTTTAAAATGCGACAGCTCTTAGGCACGCGACGCTTCTTTCTGAGCGGCAAAAATAAAATTAGCATCATGAATCCGTGCAGCAGCTACTCTGCGATAGTCTGCTCCATACTCCGTGCCATCCATAAATTGGCGATTCTCGGACTGCTCTGTCTGCTGGTCATGATGTGGCTGCATAGGGCGCCGGAGCCAAAAGCCCCTAGGGCTGCTCCGCCAGCAGCGCGTATCTTTTGCATTATCTCCACCTACTACCATCGGCATGATTCGGCGGCGGTGCATGTGAAACGCACCTGGTCCAAGCACTGTGATAAGTTTCTGTTTGTCAGCGATGATGCCCACGAGGAGCTGGAGCCCGCCGTCTTTCAGAATTTGAATGATAAATGGACGCAAATGCGTGCGCACTTTGAGTACGTGTACAAATATCACTTTGACGAGTCCGATTGGTTCCTCTATGCCAATGATGATAAGTACGAGCTGAGCTATCTGGCTAAACCCGCCATTGACTATCACTTTTCGCAGCTTTGTCGTGGTGGAGAACCTGCGCTACATGCTACAGCCCCATAGCCCCGAGAAGCTCATTTACTTTGGCTGCAAGATGCAAAATGCCGCCAACCAGGTGCTGACCCAAGCTTAGACTCTCAATATACAAACAGCTTTTCACTCTACTTTCAGACCTACATGTACCAGCGATCGAGCATCGTCTTTAGCAGCGCTGCACTCAGGCAATTTGTCCTGAAGGCCATGCCTAATGATACCCTCTGCAGCTCAAGCCCTCAGGGCGACGCTGCAACTGAGCAACTGGGCCGTTGTCTTAGCAAAGTCAATGTTCTAGCTGGCGATAGCCGAGATCACTTGGGCGATCACCGTTTTATACCTTTCGTATTGAAAAATCACCTGGGCAGCCCACTGAATGCATCACTGGAGCCGCACAAATACTTCCTCGATCGGTTCTACTACGATGTAGTCGATGTCAGTTTTACGGCCACTGAACCACTTTTTTAACTATTATTATATATAATATTTTATAATTTCTTTTTAGCTCAACGTGCCAGCCTCATCACGCTTAATTAGCACAAAATTCGAATATATGCCAAATATATACAACTTTTATTATCTAACGTATCAGGTGAGGATATTTGGAGCCTCCCAAGCGAGAGCATGGAAAGGAGAACTCGAAGGAGTCCAAGCCAAATCCAAGGTTCCACATGAAGAATAAACCTGTGCCGTTAATCAAGCTCAAAGAGGAATTCAGTAAAAGTAAAATCCATTTTTTTATTATACTTATACATGCTCTAGACGGCAGTGGCCGACTAGCAGATACCCTGTGCCTGTGCTTTACATCCACTCAAAACTATATCTCTCTAGTCTCTTAGACAGACAGGCGGGGAGAATATATATATTTACCATGAAGACAGGGTATTATTAAGGTTATTAGAATAACTTCCGAACTATTTCTAAAGCTAATGAGTATCTTGTTAAATCAAATCATGGTCAGGTGAAAGGTCATGTAGTCACCTTCCACTGCATCCCGTCTTTTTACCCTTTTTTGACTTTTGCTACTGAGGTAAATTCTTCCAAAAGTCCTCCAGCAATTTCTCATTTGCATATCCAAATTTCCATTGCTGCCGCAGATTGTGGGTATCACAGATATTGGCCACCACCTTGCGCTGTTCCACGAGGGCTTCAAGGCAACGCTGCTCAGCTCTGTTCTGGCCATGGATAATGTGCTTGGAATTGAGGTCGAAGGACCAGAACTGATTGCCAGCATGATGATGGCATTGCCAGAGCCAGATTTCAGCATTTGGCTGCCGCTGCTGCAGCTCCAAGCAACGCGAACTCGAGTGCAGATCACGGAAATGGCTCAAAGTCCACTTTTGCTCCAACTTGGGATACATGAGGTCCTCATCGCAGGGCAGCAGTTGCGGATGTTCTGCAGTCTCTGTTCGCTCCAAGCACAATGTGGGCTCTGCCAAGCTTTGCACAGCGCCAAAGGCGTAATCCAAAGGTTCGTCAATTGGATACTGTTCTAAGAAATCGCGACCCAGGTGATCCAAAAACCATTTGAAGGGCTTGCAGTGCAGACGCTGACGCAGTGCCTTTTGCTTCTTCAAGGAGCCCACCTTGATGTGGGTCAAGTGCGGCATATTCGCATACAGCTTGTCCTTGTACTCATCCAACCACACCTCGGCCACACGTCTGAAGTTCTGGGCATGGGAATTATGAGATTAGTCACTTGGGCAATACTATTTTCTTGGAAGGCCTTACCCTAGCTAACGCCTTGCTACCACTTTCGGTTTTCATGTACTGCGCATGGAAGCCGCCATTCCTGAAGAGATGTCCCACTCTGGAGCAAGGCACCTCCAGCAGGCGACCACCGCACAGCCATATCTTGAGGCTCAGCTCGAACTGCTCCGCGCCCCAAATGCGCAGTCCTTCATCATAGCCACCCAGCTCAAAGAACCAGTTGCGATCTATGGCAAACAGACCTCCATTCATGATGGGATTGTCGTGTGGCGCAGGCAGCGCCAGCTCCTCCTCCTTGAGCAGTGGCAACTGCACGTAGTTAAAGTCCCAGTCGAAGAAGCCACGCGATGGCTTGCCGCGCCTATAGGCGAAGGTCTCATAGTCTATGGTATCCACGACGGGTGTGCAGCAGGTCCTATTGTTCTCCAGCAGCGGTGCCAACAAGGGCTCCAGCCAACCCCGGGTCACCTCCACATGTGCATCAAGAAAAACGAGAACTTTCGACAGCGCCTTCTCAGCGCCCGCCAGCCGCGCCTGCATCAGGCCCAGCTGCCTTGGCAGACGCTGCTGTTGCACCAAGCCCCGGAACTGCTCGTCCACAATTCTCGCAAGGTGCTCTTGCTTCAGTTCGCTGCCATCATCCACCAGAATGATCTCTCGCAGTAGGCGCGCCGGCGTTCTGCTTCTCAGACTGCTCAGCGTTCTTATCAGCACACTCGGCTGTTCGTTGTGGTGGGTGATAATGACACTGATAGCTGGGAGCTTTTCCATTGGGTACTTGAGCTTTTTGCAGCTGTCAACAGTTAGCGCAGTTGATGAGAGTGAAGCTCTTATACGCGGCTGCTGCGACTCACCTGCGATGCCGCATATCGAAAAGCTTGCGCGCCGGCGATATGCGCTCTGAGAGCCAGGCATTATAACCCGTTTCGCGCTGGCTGCTCTCCATGGCCAGCAGCTGCTCAGCAGTCCAGTTGCTCTCCGCCGGTCGACCCAATGTGCCCAGACCGGCCATCACTAGCGTCTCCGGCTGAATGAGCTCATGTGGCATTGTTGCCTCTTTTGTTGTTGTCTTTGGGGCAAATGCTGCTGCTGCTTCTGCTGCTGCAGCTGTTGTTGATGTTGAAGTTGTTCTGCTTGTTGAAGCTTCTGTTTTCGTGTCCATTATGTAGAGATAAATGATAACATTGCAAATCACAGCGAGCAACATCAGCATTAAAATAGTTTTTTTATGCCTTAATAAAAGCTCACGGGCCAACATCATATAAAAACACACTCAACACGAGTTTTTGCGGCTTAAACCGCACACGTTTCGGCCAAGACTGAGCAGCTCAAACAAATCCAAGAGCCAAGCACATGTCTTATACACGCTAAATGTCATCTTATACGTTGTGAAAGTTTATAAGCTGTCGTAACGCGGATAAGAAGATTTAAAAAGCAGAAGCTTTTATAATTCATAAAATTGTTATTTAAATTTATTGGAATTATCTTTGATGCGGATCACAAAGAAAAGCAAACATTTTCAAATCTATTTACAATTCGCCAAATATATCCGACTCCCTTATATCGTATGCCTTCAAAAAATCGCTGGTCCACTTATCTAGTTTTTGCCTATGCAGGGCACTCAGCTCATCCTTGTAGGAACCCACAACTCCACGACGCATAAATCTAGAAATGTCGCAAAATAGAGTCTTGGTGCATAAAATATCAAATATTTAACTTACTCAAAGTCCTTGGTAGTATTTTGCGTTTCTCTTAAAAGACCCGTCAGATTGCTATATTTACTGCCTGCAACATGTAAAGTGTCCATTGATATTCAATGTCGTTTGGAAACTACTCCCATATCTAACCTTTCATATTGTCAAATGATAAATGCTGTAGCAATTGTTCCATTTGCTTGTCTTTAACATCATCCACAGATAAAAACTTGCACAGTCTCTTAATGACAGCTCTTAAATCCCGCTTCATTTCCTCATAGGTGACAAAGAAAATGTTGGGTTCATTGCGCATTCTCCAAAAATCTACAATATGTGACCAGAAGGAGGTGTATAATATCTGATCCTTCATAAACTCATTCACAAATGTATCCAAATCGCCCTCCCAAAGTTGGGTGCCTTTCAAAAAATGATATGAGGAGACCACAACATCCTTGGGATTGCGGGCCACATATATAATTTTACGGCCCTGCTGCCAAACCTGCTGTGGCAACAACTGAGCCGGCAAATGGGATTTTATCAAACGTGGGCTGACCATCTTTTCGCAGGCTGTTATCGTATCATCGGACTGCGGCGAGATCGAAGAATACCTTTAAGAGGAGACATGAGATATGCTAAGTAATTGGATAATAATATTGTAAATTGGGCGGCTCACTCTAGGAAACGACTGCACTCCATTACATAACTACTCTTGGCGGCCGCAAAGTCCAACTGATTTAGAAGCAACCACGCCAGCTCCTGCATCCAAGTGGTGCCGCACTTCATAAAGGTCACCACAAACACATCGCTGTCCCGGGTCTCGAAGGCATGGATGCGCTGCGCGCTCTCCGTATAGCGTTCCGGCAGCGTGCAACAGCGACTGCTCCAATTTTGCTGCAGTGGCAGCCATTTACCGACCGCACCCTCCATGTAGCGTATCCGGGCCATGGGCATTGTGGCCAGCGTCTGAATAGATTCGGTCTTGTACATGACTGCAGCCGGTGCACTACTGGATTCAATTGCTGTGAGTACATGCATTTGCAAACGGTTTTAATAGCTGCATACAATATTTACATAACAAGATTATATTAATTATTTATTTGACAAACGCGGCGATAAGCTTTTACAGAGCTTTAGTACACTATACACTAGGCAAATAGATTATTTTTTTATAAGAGCTTGATTATTAGCTTATACTACGTTATTATTATTGTGGGATTACAGGTCTTTACTAACTGCTTTTAAAGATTCCATAGATTGTATTCTCAGTGCACCCCTAAAATAGCTTTACACTCACTCTCCACCCAAACTTACTAAATAAAAAATATCTATACCTTTTGTTTGCCCCCGGCCGCATGTTAAAACTTGCCAGACTTGGCAGACCAACAGCTGTAATAGAATTTGCATTTGCGAGAACACTTAACGAATCAGTTGCAACCCCTCAGGCGGGTGGCTGGGGGCTGGGGGCTGGGAAAGGAGTGGACTCATTAATTTACGTAAAATCCACTTAACTTTTTGTCGAGGCTGCGGCAGAGGCTGAGGCAATAAATTCCACAACTTTGCGCCTCATCAAACGGAATGAATGTTCAAATCTACCACGAGTAAAAGTCAGACAATAGAATAGATAGAAATCTACATGAAGTACGAGATGGCGACGTGGCGACGCCAGCAGCAATTTTAGAACATGTGGTGTTTTGATGAGGCCAGAGACCTATCCACCAACCACCCAGCCACCCAACCACCCACCACCGGGCATTTTGAAGCCACCCCAAATCTTTAAGCTCGGACTTTAACCGACAAAGGGTAGCTGCAGCCAATAGCACAGCAATTTTTTTTGGGCCTGTTAGGAAAATATGGGAAATTCCCTTAAAGCGGCCGGGCATAGCCGGGTACGTGCCGGCAGAGGCAGTCTCATGCCAATGCACTGCATAATTTCAGGCAATTGTCAAACAAAACGAAGGGTGGCAGGCGGATAAATTAGATTTTTACTTGCGCGCAATTGCATAAAGCCGAATAATCCTCAGAGGACCCAACGGCGCCCGCTCGTAAATATTCATTGCATTCGCACGGCCGTTCGAGCTTTAAGTTCTATCACTCACCTCACGCTTCACTCCCCATTCGCTAGACGGGGCTTTCACTGCTGATATATATATATGTGTATTTTTTTTCAAGGTCTATGCCAAATTTTGGGGCGGCAGCAATTACATTTTGCCACCCACCCGATGTCCTTGGATTGGGCCGGGACTGCGGGGCTCCGGGTCTGGCCGTGTGCGTGCGACCTCCCCAAATCGTCCCCTTGACGGGCCTTATTCTGGCTTTATACTCCAAGGGTGTCGAACTATAAATTGTACCTTTTGTTGCAGTTTTCGCTTGAATAACTGAGGGGGCTGCAACCCCCAACAAGGGTCTGTCATGTCTTTAATAAATGTTTGAATGTTTCGTTGCGAGATTAAGTGGATTCCTTTTATGGCATGAGTAATGATCGATGCATAATGCGCTCCAATGTGTCAGGTGTATGGGGCGGGGTTGCGATTTAGTCGCTGACGTTATAAGCATCTAAATCCATATTAATTAGGATATATCTAAGTCTAAGTTGAGCAGTGGCAACACAGCCAGAAAGAGAATTTCATCAAATTCTTCAAAAGGTCAGCCTCCTTTAAACCAAACTAAAAACCGAATCGCGCTGGTTAAGGAGCTAGTTTATCAGATAAAATAAATGCCCTTAGATTGAATTTAGAAATATATGTAGATGCCTGCCAATATTAATTCAATATTGCAAAATTCCACTCACTTTGAACATGAAATGTTTTATATATTGTAAACATTTCTATCGATTTGCTTATCGCGCTAGAAAAGTGCTCATTGTAGTTCCAATAAACGACCAATTTTAGCTATATACCACAAAACTGAGATTGCCGTTGAAAACCGCTCTATAGGTGCCATTAAACAAGAATACGACCAGGAGGGAGGGAATATCGTAGCCATAAGTCGAGCTTTGCCATGCAGAGTGGACAACTCAAAGCGCCCACAATAAATTTCACTTATCAAAGTTTTCGCTAGCGTAGACCAAAAATCAGGCATGAAAAAAGCAGAAGAAGCAGCAGCAAATGAGTGAGTGGAGGACAAACTTTATGGCAGAGATACTCGAAGCGGGCAAAAGCAAACTAAAGCAAAATTAAATGTCTTTTGTCAACAGCCGTTCCAGCAAAGATGCGGATGGGAACAGAAAAAAAAAAGAAGAAAAACTGCGAGACTCGAGTCCAGCGCTACAACAATGACGCACTTTTTGGGGGCCAGAACTTTGCCCACTTTGATATGCATTAAAAAAGAATTGGCCAGGCAGACGAAGGCAGCTGACAAACCTACGAACTGAACAACTGAACAACTGAGGAGCTGAGGAGCTGAGGAACTGGGGAACTGACGAACTCCAATGGAGCGCAGCGCAATCTCGCTGTGCAAACTGGCATCATAATGGGCCACTTATCATGGCAATCACTCAGCAGCCAGCGCCCTCTGGCGACTGCAAGCTGCAGGCGTTCGCTATGGACCCCTGGAATGGACACCCTACACTACCCCCATCCCCGCATCCCCCAACCGTTGTCCCCTCCTCTGCTTGGCTATCGGGGTGCTACTCGGTTTGCTTTACTACTTTTCGATACTCAATCGTCGTTGCCTTTTAATACTTTGCGCAAACACATTAAATGGAAATTTCGTGCAAGGCGACCAGCACCCTGCTTCGATTGGGTGGTTGGTGGTGGGTGGGACAAGGGGGGTGGGGGGTTGACAGACCCCCAAACGATGCTTTATAGTGAGGCAACCCATGCAAAGTGCCGGCATTTGCACAGCGAACGCATTTTTCATGTGACATTTGCAAAAGCAAAACAAACTTTCACTCAAGCGACTCAAACCCAGAAAACCTCAAAGGACTTCTGGCAACTGGATTCGCCAGGCGGACCGCCTGCCTGGTCGTTCTACTGTTTGATCTCTGCTCAGTGCTCATTGCACATTTGCCACTGTGTGTTTTTTTTTCTTTTCCTTTTTTGTCGAGGCGAAATCCCTGCGTCAATATGCTGCCAAAAAAAAATTGGACTTCAAGCTGTGCGTCCTGTTCTGCTTCCTTTTCAAGTGTTTTATAAATAAAAATCCTGGCGCTTTTTGCTTGATAGTCCCACACACACACACACATACACAAACACATGACGAGGAGGGGGGGAAGGGAAGGGAGCAAAAATGTTTACTTTGAAAATTGCTGTGATTCGGTCAGTTCTTGCAGCATTTTTTGGATGCTCTATGCTCTAAGCCTCGGAGCACAAAAACGGAATTTGAGTGGCATATCTTAAGTGGGAATTCGAAATTGAATGATTGTTGAATTAGCAGATTAAAATAACTGCAGAACTGGGGAATAGCTAAGCTAAGGTTTGAAATTTGAGAAAGTTTGACATCAATTAAGTCTAGCGAAAGTTAGGTTGAGATGAAGTCAAGACGAAATTGGAACTTGCGTCTTAAATTGATCGACTACTAAATAAGGTCTTGTATCTAGATGAAAAGATCAGCAATTGGCTAAGACATCCTGTAGGGTACAGGCGACGATCCTAGAATTCGGACAGTGTAGAATTTGGCTCGAGCTGCGCCGCATTCTAGCTATGCTCTGGTCTAGCTCGTCGGATTGGTCCGGGTTCTTCTTGCCAAACTGCACGGGTACGCAGACACA